GTTGCTGTTCTACTCCTCCTTTTCATATTATTTCATTATCTGGAATCAAAACGAGCACGTATGTCTCTTCTTGAGAATTTGATGTATGTTTTATGAGAATTATTAAACAAGGTCAAAATGCAGTTCTCAGCTTCAAATATGCTTTTTTTTTAAATATAATTTTAGTGTGAATTTTGATTTCCTAATTCTTATTTTCTTACTCTTATATCTTAGATATTGTATTATTTCAAGATTGATTACTGCTAATAGGTTTAAGACTGTCATTCTAATTAGAGGTTGAATATTTGAATACTCAAAAAATCTTAGTAATAGAATACTCAGATATCTAATTATTCAAAATTCCCACTTCTAATGTAAACCAAAAAGAGCAAAGGCCCTTACATTTAGCCCTGAGGTACCCCACTTGAGACATTAATCTGGTTTGACTAAACTTCATTTATAAGAATCCATTGCTTTTATCCATTCAATCATTTTTCTATTCAATGAGCTAACTTATCCTCCACTTTTCTAGAGATTGGTTTTTTAAGAAGGCTTTTATATGGTACTTTGTTAAATGCTCTTTGAAAATCCAGATAAACCAAAACACATCCTTACCATCATCTACATAAGCAGTAACTTGGAGAGAATTAGAGTAATCAAATGACAAATGAAATGTACCATTCCATGTTAATTAACTGCCTTGTTTAGGCAAATATATGTTCCAAGACATACTTATCTTCACTGACACTATAAGTATTTCTCTATCGCCAAGGTTTTCACTCTTTGCCCATCTGAGCATTGAAAATGCTTGCCCCAGTCTTTTATACCCCACTCGAATGCCCTTGGCAAATTCTAATTTGTGAAATTCTCCACCAATTTCAATGCACTCTCTATCTAGGTACTGTATATAAGCACCTCATTCAGGTAGTGTAATCACTTTTTGGAGACGTAAACCGACTTTTAGCGAGGAGATACGGTGGGAGAGTGTCAGTGGAGGTAAATACATTTTCAGTTTAGGACTGTAGCTAGAATCCCACATTGAGAAGGTGGAGGGGCTGGTGCATTTTAGTAAAATATTATGAAATGAATATTGTATGATATATATAATCTGCTGACATTGTGAGAGTGTTCCATAAATTCTTGCATAAAGTTAATGAAATTGCTGAACAATAAATTTGAAGTGATTCATTTAATTGTGAAATTGGTATATCAAGGCTTAACTAATTCTTTAGGCTAACTAATGCCTCAATTCTGGCTTTTTATATTATTTTGCATGCCAGTGATCATTCAAGTTAGATTTGGATAAATGTTTCAACATGATGATTTTTGAAGCATTCACACAATGAAAACTTTGACTTGTTTTCAGAATAATAAAGTTTCCTGTTTAGTTTTGTATCCATTTTTTAAGCTTATGTAGGTCACTTGGGAGGATGCAGGTGCCATTAGGTTGGAGAAGGCTAATTTTCCTGAAAGGAGGCCAATGGCCTTTTGGAGGGGTCACTTGTTTTAACTACTTGCAGCACTATACAGTAGTATGTTGTCTGTCAGTCAGTACACACTAAAATTATGTCACATAAGGGATGCTTAATGTTGCAATTTGTTAAATGTGTGCATGCCATGAATCATGAGAAGTTGTGCATTCTGTAGGCTACAACACAGAATGACATATGAACTTCTAAAGCAAGAAGTGAAAATATGTGTTTCTCTTCATTTTGGTTTTATTTAATTTTGAAAGAGAGCACTTTTGAGGACCCTGTGCAAGTAAATATAGTTTTACTTCAGATCTTAAAAGGAGGATTTAAGCATTGTATAAGTAATTTTAGGCCAGATAGTTTTGACTTCAGTAGCAATGAAAGCTTAAGAGAGTCTTATGAAAGATGCTGTGCAAGACCATATGATGAAGTTCAAATTGGCTTTATCAAAGGAATATCTTATGTTACCTACCTCTTAAGGTAACACGGTATGTGGGCAACAAAGGATTATTTGTTCTTTCTAGGCTATCCTTTCTCACCGTATCTATGGAAAAGTAAAAAATTTAAACCTCTCTTTACTTTCCAGAAATAATTGATTCCTTCTTACATTCCTATAAAGTGCTTGCCTCCATTGTTGTTGATGACAACTCATTCTACAAGTCAGTCACCATCATAGAAAAATAAAACTGTCTTAACTGGAACTCAGATTATATTTTCCATTTCTTAAACTTGTGTTCTCTCATCCTGTTATTTCAGAATACAGCACAAAGAAATTAGGAGCCACTATTGTATTGTTCACATGGATAATCTTGTAAGCTATAATAAGGTCCTCTTACCACTTATTTCTCAAGAGAAAACAAGTAGAGATATCTCAGCATATCCCTGTATGATAATCTTTGTCCTTGAAATCATCCTAATAGCCCTCCTTTGAACCCTTTCCAATATTTGAATATTCTTTCTTAGATAAGGAGACTAAAACTGTACACTGCATTCCAAGTGAGGCTTAACTAGTGATGTGTATAGAGAGATAATTATCTATTTTGACTTGTAATCAGTATGTTTATAAATACACCCTAAAATTCTATTAGCTTTACTACTACCAACAGGGCACTGTTTCAAATACTTAAGTGGCATAACCACCACTATACCAAGATACTTTTATTTAGTTATGCTATTAGGTTTCGATCTATATTTAATAAGTGATCCAAATTATGATAACCCAAATGCATTACATTTCACTTATTGTAGTTAAAGGTTATTTTTCCAACTTACCAGTTGGTTTAAGTTATTCTATAATATCTCAACATTCTGAATACAACTGAAAATATGAAAGTTTATTTTGATCAGTAAGCTTTACTAATTATGATAACCCAAATGCATTACATTTCACTTATTGTAGTTAAAGGTTATTTTTCCAACTTACCAGTTGATTTAAGTTATTCTATAATATCTCAACATTCTGAATACAACTGAAAATAGGAAAGTTTATTTTGATCAGTAAGCTTTACTAATTATGCCCGTATCAATAACATTAATGTAAAGATCAAAACACAAAAAATAACCCCTGAAGTACTAGTAACAGTTTATTGATAGAAAACAACGTACATCTAAATCTATGTGGAATTTCCAATTCACTGCTTACATTTTTATTTGTTTTGAAAATATTGAATTAACATTATTCTTCAGTTAGCTTTGTACTTCAGATTAGACTAGAGGGACAGAAACAGGAACACTGTCAACAGATAATAATAATTACAATTAGCATACTGTAGAGTCTCCCAGTTAGTGGAATTTGCTAATTTATTAATTATTGAGCTCATTAACTGATTACATTAAACTAATCAATTATTCTTACATGAGGCTTGGATACTTGTAATAATTGGAAATGCAAATTTTAATTATTTTCTTGAGTCTTGATACTAATAGTTTAAGCTGAATAACCTTAAATTAATGAGAAATTGTAAGGGCATTATTTTGATTAATTGTTTTCATAGTAATTTCAGTTAATTGATTTTATTTTATGTGGTGTTAATCAGTGTAATCAATAATCATAGGTAATCCATTATATCAATTGCTCAAGTAAATTTCCTATCTATAGTATACTTCAGCAAAATGAGCAAGTTTCAGCAGTCATGATTGCTTTAGTGGCAGAATCTGAAATAAATTTTTGATCAGCTACAAGTGCATAAGTTGCTGGTTAATTATGAAAATTGGTAAGCAAAAACAAAAAATTGTACTTATTTTGTGAAGTGTAAAATTTCTTTTGACACATTACACTTTGAATTGAAACTACAGTAGCGTATAATTTCACAATCGTCAATAAAACAAGTTTAGTGATGAAATTCTTGATCTCAGTTTCTAATCCAGGAATTAGTTTTAGGTTTTTTGATTCCTAAGCTAAATTTCTGTATTAGAATTGGAGTATGGGAACATACTTGTGCAAAGAATTCCATTGTGTTAACATTTATATTTGTTATGCTTGATAATAATGTTACGTCTCCGTGTGTTAATTAATTTTCCGTACTTCGTTCCGACGAAATTTTAACGACACAAGTCTTTACTTAATAAAACTGGTTTATTCTTTCCGAATATAACTTTACCGATACACTGAACTCAACAATCGCGCTAAACAAACGAACGTCAATAATACTTCTGACTGCAGTTCAATCACTCACTATCTCTCTACCCACCTCACATTCCCATCTTTTATATACCAGCCCACCCTACATCGAGCAATTACTAGAGCATTCCCGAAAGAACAAGATAGTTCTAGAAACTAGAGGGCGCCACAGTGGTCACGTGACTCGTTGACGCAACAATAATATTAAATTTTGTTTAAAGTGCTGAAAGCATGAACCTTCATTTTTGAAATTTTGGATTATCTGAGATGCATTTTGGTGTATTTCTGGTAACAATTCGTTAAAGTATGTAATAGCTTTTACATACACTGATTCTTTCCTTTTCCAGAATAACAAACTCCAGAATTTATAATTGTAGACCTTCATTTCAGTGGTACATTATTATATCCTTCTGTACGATTATTAATGAAAAACATAAAATACAATTTCATACTATAATTTTGACCTGTACAATTATTAAGTTTGAAATCTCAATTTTCCACCCTGCGCTGTTATTAAATTCTTGATCTTTTTCCACCTTACACTATTATTTGGAACACGAGAGTACACAAATAAGTTACCTTATAACTTATTGAACAGAAGCTATATTTGTTTTGATATACATGATCTCAACCAAGAGTATTTTTAGCAAAAGTATTGTTACCTAGTCTGACATGGGTAATGGTGATGCCATTTTAAAAAGTGAATTTCAGGGTCACCATTAAACCTTTGTTAGTTTTTGCTGTATTTTTGCTAGAATTGGATTGTATAAAGCAAAAAGAGATAAGCTAAGGGGTCATTATTGGATCCTGAAGATTTCCTTAATGTACAAATATTCTGATGAATATCTTTAGATATCATTATCTGTGTATAAATAAAGTAAATATAAGTACATGGAATGAGATCAGCTAAAGCTGTTGTATAATTACAGGCTCCACGATGGGCATTCCTCATTTGTGCGGTTGGTCTGTTTGTTTATCAAACTCTGGATGCTTGTGATGGAAAACAAGCTCGGCGGACTGGTTCCAGCTCACCACTTGGTGAGTTGTTTGACCATGGCTGTGATTCCATGTCAACAGGTAAGGTCTTCTTGATTACAGTTATTCAATAGTTTGAGGATATTTTTGTTTGGTGATAAATAAAAGACTTCTGTTTTTGGTTATTGCATGTTATTTGTAAGAAGAAAAACTTTGTGTTGGTGGTAATCATACTAGTATAAATGACATATTTTTAGGAGGCACATGCAGACACACAGATGAAAGAAACTGTACAGATTAATTTTTTTCTTATTGGTAATTGTTAATTGTTAAATATTTGTAAATTTATGAAGATTATGAATTAATTTTATAATGCACAAGCTGAGGTACTTGTTCTTTGTCTGGGTTATGAACTTAAAAAAAAAAAAAATGTGGGTGGATGCTATAATATTAATAACATAAAAATCCTAACTTTCACACAGTTTGTTTATAACATAACATATTATTACAGTATTCATTATTACCTCACCAAAAGTTCTGTGTAAGCTTTAAGAACTCAATATGTATATACTTAAAACATGATATATACTGTGCAATGGTCAGGTAGTGGACAAAGTAGTGGTGGTAGGGGTGCTTTCTGTTACATACTTTCAACACCCACCTCTTAACTAACACCACCACCACCACTAACATGCTCCTTGTTCCAAACTATTATCCCACAAACTTTTGTTAAGATTGGCCCAGTGACCTAGTAGCAATTAGATAACAGATACACATTTTTGTGCTTTGTGTATCTAGATTTTGGCATCTTGAATTAGAGTTGACCTTTATTTTGATTTTTGTCAAAAAATGATGTAACTAAAAGTTAAATTACATAATATACAAAATAGTATACTGAGCTTATTGATCATTACTTCATGTACTAAGGTAGTCTAAAATAACTTGTGTGATACTTAAGTGGTTTCTAATAGAAGTAGTCCATTGTCATGTTTTGTATTTTTAGGAAAGACATGTTAACCAAAGCATTACTGTTTTAATGTAAAAATTATTAGAGCTTTTCTGATCACCTTTAGATCTAGTAAGGTGTGTTATAATGATGTTCTAGAAAATAAAGTTTCATCCTCTAAATTAGCTAAAGAATATTTCTGTGTGACTTGTATGATTGTGTTGGTAAGTATTTGCTACTTTGATATATCACTTGTTAAAAGCATGTGTTTCAATAGGCAAGATCAGATCATTGAAAAGTCTTAGCGAAGTTATCCTTTGTATTTTTTTTGTTCCACAAATGAGTTATATACCATATCTAACTTTTATAACATAAAATAGGATATATCTATATATCTTAATTTAGAGCTTTTATGTACATGTATGTATGTGTTAGAGTAGGATGTTATGTGACATCAATAACAACAAAACTACAAATAACAGTTAGTACAAATTTAGTACCTTATAGAATATACTTGTATGATTATATAATAAAATGAGCTTGTACATTAATAAAAAAAAAAATCAAATGTACAAAGTATTATATATTTTAAATAAATGTACCATTAAAAATAATTAAGAAAAAGAGCTTGGAAAATCCATGCAAGATTTTATCATTTTTAATAATATGGAAGAGGAAAAAATCTGGTGTGACTGCCAATTAAGCTCATTTTTTCTAACTTAAGTATTTCCATCAGTGTGTGAAAATCATTTATATGTACTTGAATAATTTGATAACCAAGGTTAAAAAGTTTGTAGGTCAGTTGACTGTGGTAACTTATTAATGGGTGTTAGAAAAAAACTTTCATGAAGTAATTTAGCTTTACTATGCAACACAATGAGCATTTAACAGAGAAAGGGCTTCAGATATATTTGTGAGAGTGCTGGTTAAACATTTTCTAAAGCATCACACACTGAATTGTTACAATGTAATGACTCAGAAACACGTAAGTAGAATGATCTTAGAATAAGGTTAAATGTTTCCATGTCAAAATTTTAAATAGCTTTGAATGCTGTAGGTAAAATTTTCAGTCTTCAAAGAGCAAATCATCATATTCCTCAGATGTTTAAAGAATGTTATCTAAAAATTTAGCTCTTGAATGTGTGTAGAATTATAAAATCATGAACATATTATGTGACCTGACACTTTTAACCTTGTTTGATTGTATATGCATGATTATGGTGATAAAGTAATGTACTTATACCCTGTGTATATGTACCATATCATCTTTTTTTTTCCTAATAGCCATGAAAACCTGTAGCTTGTGATAGAACCTATCAATCAATATCAGACCATTTGTAGACAGTTTATCATAAGATGGAAAATCATGCTGCTACTAACTTTAAATAATACTGTATTCATATCAGAAATGTGTTATTTTCAAGATTTATAGATAAGTGAATAAAGCTCAAGGGTGAAATGTTTTTTAAGAAAGTTAACAAAAATGTATTCATTGGCTCGCTGCATTAGTAAATTTGTGGCTGTATGAAGAAGTAATTACTGTACTTTTTTTTTAATGCTGCAATGTTAAACAAGATAGTGAACAATAACTTTTGCTGATCTACACAATAACCTCTTATTAATACATGCTGAATATCTTCTATCCAGTTCAGTGAAATCTAACATCCTTCAAGGTCATTATGCACTGAATATTTACAGTTGAGGTAGTATTGGTATAAATTTTATTTTATAGTTTTAACACAGAATTGTAAAATGTGCAATAAAGTGAAAAAATATTTAATAATTAACAAGTAATTTTTTTAGTGTAGAAAAACTTAAACTAATTAGAATGAAGCCTGTGAGAGTTCTTAGATATAGTCCATTTAATTTTAGCAGACATAATCATAAATTTGACTGTTGAAAAGAGCTTGTAATTGACATTTTAGTTTACACACGTCCATTCAAAAAAGTGAAATGATGTAAATATTTGTACATGAAACCTTTAATTCAGATTAATAATATTATATTCATGCAGAGCTCAAATTTTAGCATAATATCAATGTTTGCAATACATATAATTACTGCAGACCACAAGAACATGACATGATAAAAATGAACCACTCTAGATTAACACTGAATCAGAAAATGCTTCTCATTTACTTCAGGCATTTTGCCAGTTTCTATAAAGGCATGTAGCAGAGTGGTATCAGGTTTGTTGGGAGCCGGATGGCTTTTATGAAGCATATATTAACCAAATTCCACTGCTGACTTACTTCAGAATAATGCACACTATGTAGTTACTTTATTTAGGTTGTGCTTTATGATAATGTTGTTTATATCCAGACCAAGAGTTGGTACAAGATTTTGACCCAGGATTGCCACTGTGATTACCTTTACAGTGGATGACTGGTGGTAAGAAACAGTTAGCTGTGAGACAGACTTTGCAATACAAGATTTCCCACATAGATGAATAAGGAAATCAATTTAAATAGAAACATGCTATTTATTAATAGTACTTTCAATTAAATACACTGTATTAACATTACAATATGTGATGGTTTTCTACTAGATGATGTTTTGAAATGCTAAACAGTTGGTTTTTGGGTAAAAAAATATTGTATACAAATTAAGAAAAACTTTGAAATAAAAATTAATTTAATTACAGGATTAGGAAAGGCTACAGGTTTGACACAACTTCAGTTTAAGCATGATTCATTCTCTTTCCAGTGTTTGTGTCTCTTGGTGTATGTATAGCAGTTCAACTTGGTGCATATCCTGCATGGATGTTCTTCCAGTGTTTTGCAGCCTTCGCTCTCTTTTATTGTGCACATTGGCAGACATATGTGTCAGGGACTTTACGATTTGGCAAGTAAGTAAGAGCAACCATCAGTAACTTGAGGGAAGATTACAATATCACCATTGTTCTTGCTGTAGGTTTGTTAACCAAAATTTAAGATTTTCAGTTTGTGGAACCTTAAATATCAATAAGTCATTTGTTTGAGTAGAGTTTAGTTTTTTAAATTTAAGTCAATTATGTATTATTAAAAATGAAATTTTGTTTTTAAAATAAAAGGACTATCAGAAAATTGTGTAAAATGCTTAAAAGTAGTGGAATTTGGCTAAATATAGAGAATAACTTTTTAAATAAATTTATCTTATTCTTCAAGAAAATAGTATTTTAACTCCTCATTTAAGAGATCTTGTAGCAGGACAAAGGTTTTGATACATGATCTCTCTTCTTCTTTCTATTTTTTGTTGTTGTTCCTTCAAACTTAATGAGTTAATCATTGCTGGAAAGGTTCAGTGAACTTGCATTAATATTTTGTAGAAACAGTTCTAAAATGCTTCCATTATTTTTCTCACTCTTGACATACACAAGGTGTAGTATTTTATGTTTATAAAAATTAATATTTGTGTAATGCAATGTAATAATGTTTTTCAAGTAATGAAAATAAAATCTTGTAAATAAAAAAAAGGGTGATTGTTTTAGAACTGATGTTTGATTTTTAAAGGTGTCATATGAGTGGTAGATTCTTGTTTGTTCGTAATATTGTATTTATGTTTTATTATTTAATTATATTATTGAAAACATAAATTAAAATATTATTTAATTTATCTAATCATCAAATTGAAACAAACTTTTTCTTTTTTTTTAACGAGTATGATTAAATATTAAAGTCAGTGTACTCGCTTTGTATGGTTTGATTACTTCCAGATTTGATGTGACTGAAGCCCAGTTTACAGTAATGTCCATACACTTGGTTTCTGCAGTGTTTGGTCCAAGTATCTGGACCACAAGAGTAAGTAGTGACTTCCAGATGTTTCTCACTGATTTTTTATGTGTAGGAAATTTGTGTACACTACATATTTATTAGTAAGACACAAATATTTGGGAATAAGTGATCACACATTATGTATGAGTGCTTACAAATTGTTTGTAGTGTTGTAAGTCTTTTATTATGTTGGAAACAAATCAACTCTAAATACTTGTAGATTAAACATTTTTCATCTAAAGGGGAGGAGGTATGATCATACATTTCCATAAACTGTGGAATTAATTACTGGCTACAGAGTGAATTTGTAGTCTAAATTAACCTCCTCAAATGAGTGTTTTTTTTTTAAGCATTCAAGACATATCAATTAAAAGATCTTAAAAATAATAATTGATCATAAAGTTTTAATTGACAAATTCTTTAAGCTTTCTGCTTAACAGTGTTTTCTCACACACACACACACACACACACACACACACACACACACACACACACTTGACTTTTTTATTACAATCAGTAAAGTGTTGTTATTAAAGTTGGAAGCCTTTTGAGTGTAGTGCCATTTTCGTTTTGAGGTTTGAACTGTCAATATTTTATGCATTTTTATTGATTAAAAACTAGATTTCTTTAAATGTGATTAAAATTCAAACTTTATTTAGAGAACTGGAAAGTGTATCAGTTTTTAGCTCAAAAATATGTATGGATGTCAATTATTTTTTTTGCAATTAAATGTTCTGTTTCTTGAATGGTGGAGAGAATAATCACACTGATGTGCTACTTGTGTAAAATTATAGAGCATAAGTTTCTTATGAACTGATTGTACTGTACACTGGTTTTTGTAGAGGGTGACATTTTGGATTCTCTCTAGATATTACCTACTGCAAATGCCTTTTAAGTGTAATATTAACATCAATTAAAAAACAAGTTACTTACTTTCTGGAAAGTGATCTATATAAAAAATATTTACTTATACTCATTTGATGCACTTGAATCATTTTTTATCAATTTAAATCTCTTATTACTGGACTGTTTGTGACTGATTGAAATAATTGCTTTGTATGCACTATTTATGTCCCAGTTCAACAAGTGTATGATCTTTTTCTAATTGAAAGGTTTTAAACGTTTTTTATCTCATTGTGTATTTATGGTAAAACTAATTGTATTAAATTGAAACGTTTAAATATGTGTAAATTGTTTATCCATATGCTTACTATTTGTTGGATAACTCTTGTTTTGTGTTGATGTTGAGACAATTTATCAAGTTCTATGCTGAACTCTTCAACAGGATCTGATGAAAGACCCAGTGTAGAACTTAAAATATTGCCTCAACAAAACCAAGGCAGGAGATTTCCATAAAACAGTCTACACATCAAATACACTGTTTAAACTCACCTTGAAAATGTTTCATTGTTTAGGATTTTATTTTTAGATCTTGTCATGTGAATAACTGAAGTCAGTACACTTCAGTTTACATAAAGAGCTTAAGTTTAATTGATTAATGGATCCAAGTTTATTTTTGTTTAATTTGTTAAAAGTAGCTTAAACTTTGAAAATTAATCACATTTATTTGAACCAAAAAAATAGTAATTTAATAGTTTTCAGGCCAATATGAACCTATTATGAGAGAGCATTGTCTCCAAATCTTCCATATAAATGTGAAATTAATGAAAAAGTGGTCCTAAAGCACTCATAAAGCATGCATACTAACTCTAGTTCATAGGTAAATTTATGCATCTTAACATACAGATTGTCTTTTAGAACATCTGAGAATGAAATAATTTGTCAGAGGAATTAAAAGGTAATAGTTAGGGATGCAACAACCAAATTAAACTGTCATGTCCTCAACCTTCTCAGTGTGGATAGTACTTTGAGGTATGAAAATTAGTCACACACTCCAAAAATTATCATGTGTAACAGACACCAGATTAACCCTATTACAAATGGTGAGTACCTCTATGATAGAGGGCATACCTACATATATTTTAAAATGTAAGTAAAAGTAATAATTCTAACTCTGTTTCAACAATTTTTAACTCAAAAATATTTTAGAATTGACATTTTGTAACATTTAACTGGTATAATTTGCAAAGAAAGATTTTTAAGTATTTCAAACTTGTGTCTCTGCACAGCTCTAAGAAAGCTTGTCTGTAAATAATGTACTTATCCCAAAGCATAGGTTTATATTTGATAACAAACAATTGTTCTTGAAAATATAATTATTAAGGTTTTGCTTCTTGAATGGTTTTCTATTCTTCTTCACAGATTTTATTAGTATAACCTCTGTTTCCACCTTTTTATAATTTCTCAGCATGTGATCTGAACATCTATGAATGAAGTTCAGCTTCAAAAATATCTATAAGCAAAGTTTCAGTACCACAGAATAGAGCAGATTATAATTTATTTATGTAGAGTTAATAAAGTGTTTTAAGAAATAAATTGTGGTTTTGTGAGAAAGTGATTAGATTTAGTTTCTGCAAAGAAGAAAAACAATGTAATGGAAAGTTTAGAAGACTCAGGAACAAAGCATAGATCTGGGGATTTTTTATAGTTTTTTTAGGCTTATTTTTAGTTCTTGAAAATGTTTTCTTGTTAAATTATGTTTGTTTGAAGCTATGGAGAGTACAGTAGGCTATGATAAAATATATTAATAACCAAATGTGACTTTTTTATTTATTGAATATTGTTGTCAAGTTTATCATTTTCAAATAACACACATAAATAAAGAATTCTTAATTTATTGAAAATGAATTATATTTATGGGATATAAGTTGATCTTGGTCATGTATACACTGTTAGCGAAAGTTTTATTACCTAGTCTGATCTGATGTCATTTTGAAATGGTCAGACTTTGTCACAGATCAATCTTTCAAGTTTTCTACAGTGTTATTTTACAATCTACAACCAGAAGTGGTGACAACTGCAGTAGGCTAAAATAAAGTATCAAAAAAAATGTTTTTTTTTTTCATCTTACAATTTTCATATTTCATTTACATAACCTCTAGAACCTCCTAAATGAATATCATTATAGTTTATCTCATAATTTCTGTACCCTGACACTAGCTGTAGTGAAATCAGTAGAGAAAGTTGAAAAATATGAAATTGTATTAAAAGTACATTTTTGTTTTTTCTAGAATGACTTCAGATTCTAACAGACAATTACAATTATTTATCCTAACAGCTTTAGGCTTTTAACTATTTCACAGATGCCTTCAATTAATTTATTGTCTTTGCTCATTGAACTGTATAACTACTAAATTAGCATAACAAAGCAATAAATTACCTGGTGAGACCATAGCTCAAGTTATGATAAAAAAAAAAGTATCAAATTACATAAGGAAAGAGCAACTTGTTCATGCTTTGAGGAGAAATTTGTTAAACTTTTTTTTCATTTAAGGTTTCTTATGTTATGTAATTAAATTTTTAATTTTACATAGTAGTTACTTTGATAACAATAAATACAAAATATGCATAAAAACAAGAAATTTAGTACTTATGTGTAGGCTCTTGCACACAGTAATTGATATCTTGTTGACACTGAGCCATACTGTTTGGTAGTATTGTTCATAGTATAAAACAGTTTTTTTTACAATCAAATATCTAATTTAGAACATAAAATATTAACATGCACAAAGAATACAATGTTCTAAAACTATTTTCATTTAACTGGCTTTCTAACTAAGCTATAAGTGCATTACAATAATTCAGTTAGCTGACCAAGGTGATCTCAGCAGTAGCAATAATGAAACTGTAGTAAAAAATATTTAAAAACAGTTGGCAGGACAAGCAAGCTGTATAAGGAATTCAGTAATTTAAAATGTTGTCTTTCTGTTGGTTACAAAATATCCCAACAGAAGATGTCAGAGAATTTTTGACATTTTTTTGAAAGGCAAATATGAGAGGAGGGTGTGACATATGGGTTTGACTTCCTGGTTTATATCTCGGCAAAGCAAGAAGATTGGAGGCTCTAAGTTTACATTATGTTTTAGCAATAGTTCAACTTTAAGAAATTTATGCAGAACTCAAGAAATCATGTAGGTGTAGAAAAGAGTACCTAAAATGGGTGCTTCAAAGCAAATAAGTGTTACATGATATAGAGGTGAAAATTAAGAGTTTATTTAGATACTTATATAATATTCCAATTTGAATTATAAACTATATCTTGATGCCAAGTTTATTGACATACATAAAGGATCAGCTGTTTTGTTACAACTGTACATTTGCAATGCTAGGGCCTATGTAAGAAATGTTTTCCATCAGAACATTATGTTTAAACTCCAGTGGAGCATATGATACATTATACTTCTAAACTTCAAGTTATTTATATTATTGAAAGTAAGTCCTTTTTAACATGTCTCGACAGTGTTTCTGTAGTTATACTGATGTGATAAAGAGCATGTTAGCATTGTTATTGCATATCTGTCAGGATAAAATAAGTTAGTGGCACACAACTGATAATTTTGTTTCATTTCATAATTCTGAAGTGTTGTTTGATTCATTACATTCCCTAAAGCTATAAAAAATGATACTTATCTGAAATTGAATATTAGGATTTATATTCTCAGAAGTTGGAAATTTCCAGCTTTTCTTGGTGATGTCTATTTATTTTTTAAATCTATAAAATTTATATAAAGTTTTCAAATATGGGAACACAGAACAAGTTATCTGACATTTGATAGGTTCTATGTAATGATTGTGGAATGTTTTTGTTGTTACTAATCTAAAGGAACTTAGTTTTTTTATATTTAAGGAAAATAAAAGGTACTTTACATGAAAATGGACCATCCACAATGTTGTGTGTTTTATTAAAAAAAAAAAAAAATTACTTGTTTGAATGAACATTAAAATTTATAATTGTTTTTTGTTTTTGTGATTACATTTTTTCATTGGTTAATAATTTAATATCATGTTAAAAATCATTCTTATGTTGCAGTATTTGATTACTTTTACTTCTTTGAATATTTTTTTACAGAAGTAAAATATTACATTTGGAAGTGATCATGACAGTGGAAAAACTGTTACTTTTAAGG